GGCATTTCCCTACTTTTTCTACAAATTCAAAAGGTGTGTTTAGTAGATCGTAAATATTATGCATACCACTAATGTAAATTGCCTCTGTTTTTTCTGCTTTTAGTAACACAGAAATAAAAAGTTAAACACAAAAAGCTATTTCCTTCCATATGTTCAGTGAATCACTCTAATACACCAGGCGAGATTTTCCACAAAAGCAGCATTCTAGTTCTGTCTAAACTTAGAAAACAGCCAGGCAACTGCAATCCCAGCACTTTGGGAGGCCAAGGTGGGAGGATCACTTGAGAGTTGAGACCGGCCTAGGCAACATACAAAGACCACTCTTTACAAAAAATTAAAAATTAACCAGACATGGGAAGCTAAGATGTGAGGATCTCTTGAACCTTAGAAGTTGGAGGCTGCAGTGAGCTCCAATCACCCCACTGCTCTCCAGCCTGGACAAGGGAGTGAGACACTATCTCAAAATATAAATGAATAAATAAATTCCCTTACTACCAAAAAAATGATTGAAATATTAACTCTGTCTTATTCCAAGATTTCCAAATCATTTATTAAATCTAATCTCTCTTCTCTACTTTCCAGACACAAAAAACAGAATTATATTCGCTTATAACTCTCATTAGAAATCTAGTTTAAAATACACTAACATTTAGAAATATATCCTGGCTCCGCGCCTGTGGCTCAAGTGGCTAAGGCGCCAGCCACATACACCTAAGGCGCAGGTTCAAATCCAACCCGGGCCCGCCAAACAACCATGATGTCTGCAACCAAAAAAATAGCCAGGCGTTGTGGCGGGCGCCTGTGGTCCCAGCTACTTGGGAGGCTGAGGCAGGAGACTCGCTTGAGCCCAGGAGTTAGAGGTTGCTGTGATGCCATGGCATCTACTCAGGGGGATAGCTTGAGGCTCTGTCTCAAAAAAACAAAAATAGAAAGAAAGACATATATCCTACAGAAGTGTCCTTATAAAACATCACCCATAAATTTGCCTAATTAAGGTCATACATCATGAGCAGTGGATCATTTTTAATGGCACCAATAAACTACTCTCATCTGTATTTTTGCAAGCTTCTACACCTAATAATTTTGAACACTTTAAATTGCCATCATATATGGTACAAACAGTGGTATGTAGAAAAATGCTATTTGCAGGATGAAGTATCGTGATGCATGTAGCTTACTTTGCAATAATTTAGTTTTAGGGAAAACACACATATAGGTAGAGAGATACGCTAAATATGGCAAAATGTTAAGAGTTGCTGGATCTTTGCAACCTACCTTTTTTTTGACTGGGGCTGGGTTTGAACCTGCCACCTCAAGCATATGGGGCTGGCGCCTTACCATTTTGAGCCACAGGCGCCATCCAAGTTCCTGGATCTTGATGGCACAAATATGAAGGTTCATTTGTACTAGCTTTTCAAGTTTAATATTTTAAAAACTTAAAGGTTTTAAAAATATTTTGAAATAGGATTTTTATACTTCCACAGTTTAAAGTTAAAAGGGTCTGAATAATTGTTATTTTTAAACTATATGAAATCAAAAAACACCCAGAGAGCCAAGACTCTTCCTTTTTGTAGGAATGCCTTTTCATAGTTTATCAGGTGTTCCACATTTTCAATTTTCTTCACATTAAGTACTAAGGTGTTTCGTCTAAACTGGCTATGAATAATTAATACTACTAATTAATCTCAGGAAAATATTAATTCAAGAAAATCATTTAGGTCTTTAGACAGTATACTTTCCTTTCACTCTCTACATTTTCTAGACTTTCCCCAACTTCCCTGCTTCTAGACACTAGCTCCATTCACTTAACCTCTCTCAAATAATCAGAGAGCACGGCCTGTCGTACTTAACACTTACTTCAAAGCCTGTGGACATTTATAATTTATAAGAAAGATTTTTTGGTGTGGCAAGTAAAGCAAACGTGTGTCTCGTAGAAAATAACAAGCTGGCTCGGCGCCTGTGGCTCAAGCGGCTAAGGCACCAGCCACATACACCTAAGGTGGCGGGTTCGAATCCCCAGCCTGGGCCCGCCAAACAACAATGATGGCTGCAACCAAAAAAAAAATGGCCAGGCGTTGTGGCGGGCGCCTGTAGTCCCAGCTACTTGGAAGGCTGAGGCAGGAGACTCGCTTGAGCCCAGGAGTTGGAGGTTGCTGTGAGCTGTGATGCCATAGCACTCTACCCATGGGGATAGCTTAAGGCTCCATCTCAAAAAAGAAAAAAAGAAAATAACAAGCTAGTGAGCCTTTTGTTTTGTTGGGGGTGAGTGGGTAATGAAGAGCTATAGAAACTCAGAGACTCAGAAAAACTAAAAGAGTTTTTTAAATTTAATTATAACATCTTCTCATTCTCCTCTCCAGATTTTCAGAACACATACAAAAGTCAGTAAAAATCTCCAGTACATACATGTATGCCCTACATGTATGCCCTCTGCTGCTAAAATTATCTGGTTTTCCTATCTGCACTCTTGCAATTGCTTATTAAAGCAAAGTTACTGAATATTTCTATTCATTGTGACTTTTGTTAGATAGTAATGACCATTTTTCTAGGCATATTTTAACTACTACAATAAATTTACCATCAGGAAATTTTTTTAAATGAGCTTTGTAAGAATGTAACTTTCACCAGTGCTTTTTTAAAATTCTCAATACTTTCACGACATGAAAATCCTCTCAAAACGTATGCTATGAAAATGTTTAAATTTGAAAGACATCTGCTATGTCAAATTATTTGGGAGCTTGTGGTTTTCTGTACATTGTTTGAGGTAGTGCAGGAAATAATTCACTTATCATTTTCAGGCTTCATGAGAAATAGCCCTGAAAACAAATGTATGTGGTAGTTCACTACTACCACAGAGAATCAATAGCCATCTATTTAATTTGCTAAGACAATGTAAATTAGTAACTTCCAGCCAGATGTGTGATATACACATCAAACAAACTGCAACCTGTTCATTATGAAAATCCTGTCAACACACACAGAGCCACTTGATGACATTTCATCTAAAGCAGTTTCCACATTTGCAGCTATAAAAATTGTCCTAAGAATTTTTATACAAGGAATTGAAGCTGAGACTCATAAAAGAGTAATCAATTTCAGCTTTTCATCTTGCTTGCCTATGTACACATGCTTCTGTGTATTTATTTCTATTTTCATTTTGAGATATAAAATGTTCAAAAAATGTATGCCATGCTATTTTTGCTCCTATAAATCACTTATTTATCCTGATTACATCTTTTCCAATCTCATGGACAGTTGACTCCTTAATTCTGAAGCTCTAAAGAAGTGTGAAAAGTGAGGAATGACAGAGTCAACAGAAGAAAAATGCACACTTATCTCCTGGAAAATAAAACAGAATGCTACGTATTTCAAAATGACTCCAAATATAAATTAGGTTTACCCATAGGGAGGCCTAACTTGCATTCAGATCATTTATGTAGGTCTGTGTGACTGTTTGATAAAAATAAATAAATAAAAGAAGAAGAAGAAAGGAAAGAAAAAAAACCCGATTACTAACCACAGGCACCCACCAGAGAACAGAGTGTATGTATAATGCTTGTAATGTCTCAGACATACAAAATGCCTTCTTTAAAAATGTCCATTTTCTTTCCATGGTAAGCAGACATAATTTTTCACCCTTTAAAACTTCTGCTTCATAGTGTAGCTTATTTTATGAATTATGTTTTGCCTTTTTCTGTTTATTCTAATAATACAAAGAATTGCTTTCATAAAATAGGTGGTTTTGTTTCATAATACCAATAAAATATTGGGAAATTTTCTGTTCTATATGAAAGTACACAGCCTTCTTGCTACTATCAAAAAAAATCTAACAATATTGATTTTTAACACTGCTTACTAAAATAAAAGAAATTAAAAGATTCTTCTTAATAACTAGCTATTATTCTTGAATCTTGAATCCTCATCTAAACCAAATTCATTTTCTAAGTCTGTTGAATTAAATTTTCTTATTAAACAGGACACAGAGCAAACAGTCTTATTGTCAAACATATTTCCCACTACTACATTTTTAATTTGGCAATTTAAAAGAAGTAGAATGCATAGAGTCCTCATCACCTGTATAGTCTGATTCCAAACAGCACCCCTTAACCAAGTGCCTGGTGTGTCAGCGCTCCCAAAGTAAATAATCCTTGAGGTTCCCTAAAATCACAAGAATTTCAACCTCTATTAAAAAAAAAAAAAAGGCAACTGCCCATACAAAGGGGTTCTTCATAAAGACTTCAACCCTGAGCAATTGACTTTCACAAACATTATACAGAACCAGGCCACGTGATCAGTTTGCAGGCCACACCGGCAACCAGAAATGATTATTGTTTCTAGAAAGAAGAAGGCTGAAACGCAGGCCTCTGCACTCGCCCAGCCAGTCAGCTGCTCCTGCAGGTGGTGCCCGGTGCTCCCTCCTCGCCCAGGGAAGAGATTACTCCCGGCTGGGAGCCGGCCAAGACTTTGCAGTGTTAGCTCGGGTCCCTTTGCTTTTTGAGAGTTAAAGTCAGACTCTCCTGGTCACTTAAGCCCCCTTTGTGGTTCAGGGGGGAAACCAACCACTCTCAGAACTCTTAACTTTGATTGGCGACTCTGGTTAAAATTAAGAACTTCAAACCCCAGATTTGAAAAAGTGAAACAGATGTCCTGTTTGTTAACCATAAATGCCTCCGTACGTTGGATCCCTTTCCCTCTTTTTCTTTCTACCGCATTAAGTTTTATTTAATGCAGAGTTTGCTTAAAAGGTTAAGAGAGAGAGAAGAAAGCAAATACGGACTGTGATGGGAAAAACTCCTAACTCTTTCTCTAGCATATAAGGAAGAAAGCCTCTTCAGAAAGATAAAAGTGCTCGACCTGCCTCCTCCCAGCAAGCCAATACTCGGGGTCAAACCGACACGTCTGTGGACCTCAGCCTCGCTTACCCTGGGTGCCTGCCACCCGCACCCTTGCAGAAACCAGGGTCACCTGGAATGGGTGAAGGGGTCCCAGCTTGCACTCACGTGAGGACATAGTTGACACTGACGATGCAGTGTGGCCTGGAAGACCGGCTATTGTGCACGATGGTCGCGTAGCTCTGTACCCAGACCCAGCCGCCATGTTTTGCCAGGAACCTGTAGTATTTGGTGGTCACCTGCCCCTTCACCAGCACTGATGGAGAGACAGAAGGCAAATGGTAGAACCAGCCTGCCTATGACTGGTTCTAAAGGCAACCCCTGGTGGTGAAAGTCAGGGCCCCCTGCGGGCCCTAAGACCTGCCAGGCTGCAAGGAGACACAGCAGGCAAATTCTCAAATGAATTGATTGTCCTTTAACTTGCTGATCCCTCTTATAGGGATGATAACAAGGTGGTCCGCCACCATTTGCAAAGGGAGTAACACTTAAAGTGGAAGGTTTACCCCAGATTCGCTTTTCTAACCACAGAAGGAAGGGTCTGGGCAGCAGAACTCTGAGACTCACATTCCCTGTCCAGGGAAATTAAGCTCAAAGCAAAGCTGTATCAAAAGTCCTGGGAGTCAATGTGCCTGAGCAAGTTGACTAGCCTTGGGCTTTGTCCACAGCTTCAGTGAGGTTCAAGGATATCAATAGAGGAATAAGACACCTCCTGTGGGGATTTCGCCCAGAAACTCCCCCTCCACCTGTGTTAGCCCCCCTCCACTAACATGATGTCAGAGAAACCAGGTGGGTCCAGTGTACTAGCAGCCCACATCATCACCAGGAGACCAGGAGGGCTCCCACCTGTCCCCTTGCCATGGACTGAAATCCCACCTCCACCCCTGAACCGGGCAGGCTGGCGTCTTACACAGGTGGTGAGCGCAGCGCAAATGGAAGGTGTCGCAGCCGTGCACGTGGTGATACAGAGTCTTCTCGATCAAGTCCTGGGGTTCGTACCCGGTGAGCTCCGCCACCCTGAGGAAAGCAATCCCCTCGAATAAGTGCAGGCAAGGGTGCAGGAGTGTCCCCTACCCACGACAAACGGCTCAGACTTGAGTGCCCTGCCAGAGCAATCAATCGCTCATCTGCAAAATGGGCCCACATGGAATCCACAGAAAGCTGAAGTCACTAGGCAGGGCTGTGGTCATGCTGGGCACAGCTGTGCCGCCCCGCCCGCCCACCTGGAGTCCAGGAAGATGAGCTTCATGTCGAGGCTGGCGCGGAACATGAACATGTTGCTGTGCAGCTTGATCTCCGTGACCGCGCTGGGCGGCAGCGAGTGCCCCACCGCCACCAGGCCCACGTTCTGGTAGCAGCCATCGAAGGGGGACATGTCCAGGCTGTACTGGCGGATCTTCAGGTAGCCGCTGCAGTGGATGACCTGCGGCAGCGGGGGTGGGGTGAGAATTCCACCACAGTCAGAAAGACACCCCCCCAGGAGGGAAGGGAGTGAAACATGTTGAGACTCCAGCAGCCACAGACGCTGTGTGGGCCTGCCTTTGCATTAAGGGGTCCGAAGTTATTGGTGCTCCAAGGTGTCTCAAGAAAGTGCACGCCACACCGAATTCACCTAGGAGCTTGTAAAAATGCAGATGCGGGTCCCACCAGCTCTAATGCCTAGGAACGACTAATGGCCCTGCCACCTGCTTTCTAGCAATGTTTCAATAGCATTCAACCCGAGAACCACAGCTTTGCGCTAACGCTCTGCCACCTAGCCTCTCCCGAGGTCAAAATCCGATGTTATGACCAAACACTACAAATCCACCAAACTTTGCCACTTGGGAGACCACTGACCCCTATGGCCCGTCTCTAGTGCCACAGGTGAAGAGCCGCTGCGCCCGCACAGTATCTGGACCGGTCAGACTTTAGCCTAAGCCTACTTCCCAGGTGTTTGCGAGGGAAGCCCGCGGAGGGCGCCCTGGGGGCGGTCCCAGCCGCGCCATCGTCCCTCCCAGGCCTCTCCCGCCGTGTGTGTGACCCTCCCCCCGCCCCGCGACTACCCTCAGCTTCAGTCTTTCAGCTCAGTCACGCACCTTGTAGCCGCCACAGGTGAGGCCGGCGTTCCTCTTGGCCAGCACGCACTTCATTCTCAGGAAGAAGGAGCGCTCGATCTCGTACTCTGGGAGAGAGGAGCGGAGGGAGGCTCAGGGCGTGAGCCAGGCGGCGCGGCGCGGGTCCCGGCCACGACTACTGGGACAACACCGCATGAGGACTGCAGGGGCCTGAGCGTGGCGGGCGTGTTTGCCTTACCCTGCACGAAGTGAGAGTGGTAGGGCTGATGGGCCGTGAGCACCGCCGTCATCTCGTCGTGGTCGGCTGGGTGGATGTATTCGTAAATGCTGTTTCCGGTCAGTTCTACCTGTAAAGAGGAGGGGATCACCAGCCCCGCCGTGGTGGAATGCTGTGTAAAGGGGCTCAAAGATTAGGCCATGGTATCTGTCTACAGGACTAGGAGGACATGAGCCAGAATTATGAATTGCCCAGAGTTCCAACTCTGCTACCTGCTACCTACTGCAGTCTATAGAAAGCCTTGGCTTCCTTACCTATGAAACAACAATAATAATAGTAGTAATAGTTAGTAGTAACAATGAGTAGTAGTAGCAGCAGCTCCCTGGAAACACCCTAGTAAAGACATCATGGAATAAGTGTACAACTTCCTCACACTGTGTATGACTTTTGGTAGAGACTCAAAAAAGTGGTCATTATTTGAGGGGAGGAAGCTAAAAGTTCAAAAAAGTTGAAGAATAGGAAAATCCAGATCTGTTTGAAGAATCCTCTGGCCAGCTGTGAGGTTTTTAGCCCCATGAATGCAAACATAGAGGTTTGGAGAAACCCACCCCCCACCCCCCAGCTCTGGCTGCAAACACCACAGCCTAGAATGTGAACCACTCACCTACCTGAGAAAGACCCAGGTGCACTGAGGCTGTCTCGGAGATGTACATGATCTTCCCATCTGGGGCCACCACAAAGATAAAGCCATCCAGGGTCTGGGGAGGCAGAAATAGAGTGAATGGAGAGCCTGCTGGGCCATCTGGAGAAATGGGAGGGGGGGAGGACAGTAGTTAGAGACATTCAGCCAGAAATGTAGAGAGATGGAGTGGACATGGGCTGGCAGGGGAAAAGAGCATGAAAAACCTGCCATGTGAGTGTCCCCTTTTGTTTATTCTAAACTTGTAAGCATGTGGGGCATGCAGCCCAGTAGAGAAATTCAGAAGAAGTGGTAGATAAGGCCAATGCCTTCCAAGACTCAGGAACCACCAAAATGAACAAAAGAAAACATCTGAAACACACAGACTCACACAGAAGTTCTTGAGAAAATCACAGCCTACAATAAGATATTGGTTAGGCTGGGAAAGATGGTCACTGAAAGAACCAGAGGTCTCCCATGTCAGTCTTGAAGGATTCCATGTTGGCATTGTGCAGTAACAAAAAGAGTAACAGCAGGGTTTGGGAAAGCTCCCAATGCAGTAGGCACTGGTCAACTGGGAAGAGCTGGGAGTCTATGAAGTTTGCAGACAGAATGAAGCAGGCCAGTAACTCTGGAAAGAGGCCAGGAGAGGGGGATTTAGGAGATGAGAGGCTTTCCAAGCAGCAAGTCCACAGAGGAGTGCTTACTATATATGTATACATGTGTTTAAGTTTACACTGATGCATCAGACTGACAGGTTCTCCATGAAGGAAAGTCTAAGACTGTCACTGTCCCTCTATCTCTATGAATGAGCCTTCAGTTCAGGCAAGGTAAGTCAGACCTTGTTCTAAAGGAGCAAGGGGCAAGTGACCAACATAGATATAATAACACACAATTGAATAGGCACTGCTGAAATAGCCAGAGCCTGAGCAACCAGAAGTCTGAGGTAGAATCAAAGAGGCCTTATTGGCTGGGTACAGGCAGTGGCTGGCTCAGTGTCCCCTGCCTGTAATCCTAGCTTCTGGGGAGGTTTGGAAGGGAGTCACTTGAAGTCAGGAGACCAGTCTGAGCAAGAGGTAGATCTCATCTCTACTAAAAGTAGAGAAAATTTGCTGAGCACAATGATAGATGCCTGTAGTCCCAGCTCCTTGGGAGGCTGAGGCAGGATTGCTTGAGCCCAGGAGTTTGAGGTTGTGGTAAGCTAAGATGACATCACTCTAGCCTGGGTGACAGAGCAATATTCTGTCAAAAAAAAAAAAAAAAA